TATCGTCTTTATTCTCTTTGATGAAGGTTGAGCTTCCATTTGTAAGGCTGAAAATAGTAGAAATAAATAAATGAAAAAGTTCCCGAGGGACTTTCAAAATAATATCTTTTTTCGTATTGGGTTTGGTTAGTGATACTATCTAGTGATTAGATTCTCAAGAAAAATGTAAGAGATGAGAATTCCATGGGTAATAAATTTTCAGAAATTGGAATGGCTTATAAACCAGTAACTATAGTCAGTCATATAATGAGTTTGATTGTTAAAAGCTATTACATCTGTGTATGTTAAAAGCTATTTCGGCTCCCTAATAGCATAATAGAAATCATTAAGGCTACAACGTGCAAACGTAAGGGAAACAAATCTATACCTAATACCAGTACAACTATCTTCAATAACGAATTATCAGAAGTCCATTTATCATATAAGCAAAATTATATTGTATCCTACCCACAATAGTAGAATTTATAATTTCATTCATAGGGCATGCATGTGAAAAACCTTGTTAATACGAGTCATCAGAGATTACGGAAAAAAGATATTATACAGAACACACCCAAAGATTCTATTTTTAATCTTATATACCATATAAAAGATGCACCATTATCCAATTACAGCAAGTTCAATGTTTCTCACAAAATCAAAGTGTTGGAATTATGAAACAAAATTTATAGAAATATTATTTATTTCGAACATCATCTAAAATTATTTAGCTCCTCTGTGAATAAATGAACATATTGACCACATTTAAGGTAGCATAAATCCAACAACAGCATACGAAAAGACACAAGAAGTACAACAACCGTGAGGGAGAAAGAGAAATAGAGCATATCGGTCCAAGAAGCAAAAATCTAGCCCACCTATTGAACACTCAAAGACTTTCCACAACTCATTTACCTCCTGCTCGTATCAAATAGCCAACAGAAACTCTCCAACAATAAAACAATCAAATAAGATAATTAAAAGAATTCGATAATACCCAATGAACAAAACCAGCAAGAAAAAATAAGGGACAGATTCGATTTGAAAAAATACCAAATATAAATTACTAAACCAGTAAGAAAAAAAAACCAACCTATGAGAATTGCAATTTCAATTCAATTTTAGGGTTGAATCGGCTGCTTTTTGAAGCCTTGAATGAGAATTGAATGAACATTTGATATAAATTATATAATAATATTAGGTTATAAATAAATTGGATTGGACTTTTGGGTAATGGGCTGAATTTTTTTAAGTGGGCTTGTAC